AGAGTTAGTAGAAAAGTCCCACAGACATCCTCATCCTCATCGTGACAGTACACATCGTCGACAAAACGACAGTACATAGAGGGCCACAATGATGGACTAATGGACGCTTCACAGAACCCTACAAATATATTAGCCAATACAGGACCAAGTGGTGAGCCCATGGCAACGCCATCTATTTGTTTATACATAACGTTGCCAAATGAAAACTCAACGCCAGATGTAACCATTAACATGAGTTTCACAAACTCCGTTTCGTTCAAGGACGGCGAAGTAATGGACTTATTGTGGTACAGTGTTGTTGCGCAGATGTCAATGGTCTCCCGTAGTGGCACGTTAGTAAATAAGCTGACCACGTCATACGAACACATGAATCCGCTCGATTCAAAGTTTGCGTCCCTTAGCTTCTCCACAAACTCGAAAGTATCTTTGACGCAGTGGCTGTTGTAGAGGTTGAGTACCGGCTGTAGCATGGCACATAGCCACTTGGATGTTTTAAATTGCGGCGATCCTGACATGCTCAGTATTGGGCGCAAGGGAATGTTCTTCTTGTGAATTTTTGGGAGCCCATACATTCGTGGTCTTGTTGATCCCGTCGGTGCCAGATGGTCGTACTCATAATCAGAAATTTGATGTGTTTTTGAAAGAGACAATAAGTGTTTGCTAAGTTTAGTGTCGATGTTTTCTGTATGATCATATACATCGCACGGTCCGATTCTGCAGAATTTCGTCTTGTCCTCCAGAATGACCATCATCTTGGTTTGGTAATCCTCCCTTGACATAATAACCGTTGCCCGACCCTTGTCAGGGCGGGAGATAATAATGTCCGGATTTTTCCTAAGCTCTCTCATTATTTTGAGGTGCTCTTGTGTGAGTGAAAAAGACCGGGTGTCAGGAGAAGACTGCGCAAACTTGTGTGCCTCGGCAGCCAGAGACGCCCGGCAAGCCGCTGTTGTTTCGTCAGATTTTGCTGGTACCTTGGACAATTGCTGCTGCAGCAGCTCAAACTCCGCCAACATCTCCAATCGGTGGAGTTTAGGAGGAATTCCAAAATCCAAACCGCCGCACAGCACGTCCTTTTGTAGTTGAGTCAGAGGGATATCGGCAAGATTAATAATAGTATCATAATTGTCGCTACATGTGCCGAATCGGTCCTTTCTCAAGGCAGACACAATCGAAACGTGTTTTGCATGGAGCCTAGACCGTTGTTTACAGTCACGTTGCGATATTAGCCATGAAAATCTAACAAAATCGAAGGTATTGAGAAGTCTTCGTACTTTCTGATACGAAGACACAAACCTCGAACGTGCATTGTGAAGTTGGTTCTTTGCCTTGTATAAACAATTAAAATGAAACAATTCCAGAACGTTTTCGTGTGACCATCATCAGTGGAACATCGTCACATAGTAAGAATCACTAAAACAACCAGTTATAATATTATAGCTACTTCACTAGTTTGAGGGAAAGAGACAAACGGGAAAAGTCTGAAGAAAAATTGACTGTCAATATAGCTACAGTAATATTAAAAGAAGCGTGAGAATGCAGCACAGCTAGCGGTTATGCATAGCGCGTGTAGTGTGAACCTTTGCAGTGTATCTGAGAATGGTAGCAGTAGATGAATGTGGCAGCTGTGAGTGCGTGTGATGATGGTCACACGAAAACGTTCTGGAATTGTTTCATTTTAATTGTCTATACATGGTTATGAGTGCACAATTGATATTTTTCATTGCTATTTTACGACTGTTGTCTCCTCGTCGGTTATTTAAATAATAATAATAATAATAATAATAATGTAAATAGGCGTCGAGGCGACAATAGTTTTAGAATTGCGATCAACAGAACGAGCTGAACCGACATTTCACAAAGACTTTTATTGTATTCAAAAAACGAGTGGATACAAAAGCAGTGAAGAACATGGAAAGAAGAAAAAATGTGATATGGAAGAAATGATGAACAAAAAATCTTACTGCGAACTAGTTCTCGCACAACACTCCTCAGGAAGCTACGTTGTACTAATGAAAAACAATCCAGAAAGATACTAATAAAGAGAAATGGAGGGAGAAGAAACAACACCTATGAAAATGATAATCCTAGCACTCAGGTAATAACAGGAAAAACTGCGAAACCACTTAACGAACTTGTAAGGACTACTAGTATACTGTGACACAAGATATGACACCATGGCCAACCAGGGCCAAACAAACAGAACAAGCTGCTACTAAAACAATTTCAAACGAATAATGCTGTCCTTCTGGACACACAGATGAGGCTTATGAGTACGTTGACAAACAGCTTCTAACACACTCAACTGCAACTTATAACCATGACGAGCACGGCACAAAACAGAAAAAGAAGAATCAGAATAAACCTTGCAGCAATCAGGACGAGATACAAGATGCTTATACACTGATGACTTCCTACTAGAAAACACACGCTCGCACCCACTCTTACTCACACAATCATTCTCGCTCTCACACTCACTGGACTCACCAGCCGAATCCTCCTCAACGACGTCCTGCCTTGGAGCAATCAGGTCCCGTCTCCTCCCATCCCTCGTCTCACGTTCCTGTTGTTTATTCCGTTGGCTCGGTACTTCCGTACTGAAATAGGTCATGGTGTAATTAGCAGTTGCTCTTCTGGGTCTCGTTGATATTGAGGTAGGTATTGTTGTCGTCTCTGCTGGTGATGCAGCAAGCGATGATGACCCAAACGTGTCTGTATGCAATACACGTGGCGTCGCCAAAGCCACATCCACCTCCGCTGGTTGAGGGAGTGACTGGGTCATGGCCACGGGGGCCAATGCAATGGTGGACTTGCCGAGTGGGACGCTAGGTCCTGTGTTGGCGGAGGTAGTGGTTGTTTACGGGGTCTTCCCCGCGTGGGACGCTCCAGTTGCGCGCTAATTAGGATAATGTGTAAAGGAGTGTGTTGCTTGATGCGTTCGCTCAGCAACACACTCCTTTACACATTATCCCACGTTATACCCCACTTGGAAGGTTCAAGGTTATGGAAAGACCAAAGAGGGGAAGGCAAGCGCAACGAAAACGAGCACAAGCTACAGTCCCAACGGAACAAATAATGTCGGTTGTTACTGGACGATAACGAGACCAATAGGATATTTGACAAAACGGTCTAACTACAGTTCGAAGCAGCTCACCACCCAACTTGGGTGGGTCATGAATATCAAAGATAAGTAAAGAAGGGGGAAGCTTTACGAAAATGAATTGTACAAGCCGAAAGCCAAACTCCTACAGTACTCTTCATGCATGACATTGTGATGGACTACAATACAAGTTGTTTCACACGACGTAAGCTTGCCTGCCCCTCTTTGGTCTTTCCAAAACCTTGAACCTTCCAAGTTTGAAGGCTGTCGGTTAGCGGTACGGAGATGTGTTGAAGCTAGTTGTCAGGACGTCGAATGTCTCAGTACTCTGTCAGTTTTGTGCTTAGTTGTTGCACTTTCTGACTGTATATAGTATCTAGTTACAATGGTGGAGAGTTACTCTTAATTCGTTTCCATATGTCCTTTTCCTTTCTACTTTTATTATTGACTCAATACCCGAGTTTCAAATTGCACACCTGATGAGCCGTCACGAACCATACGGCGAAGCGTACGTTGTGTGAAACAGCTTGTGTGTTTTCGTCAATAGTGACATCAGATTCAGCTCCTGTCGATTCCGGTGTTGTATCCGTTCTTGGTTGTGTTGTAATACTGACAGGCGTAGTAGTAGGCAATGGGTGTTTTCGTGGCCACCCCCCGCTTTGGCCTGATTGCCCTGGCCGCTTTTGACAACAAGGACAATGGGGCGTGTTGTTTGATACGTTCGGACAAGTGTTGAAGCGTCCTGCCAACATACCGACTACCGCACCGTCGGCATTCAAAGTGAAAATATTAATGAGATGACTCAAATGATGGGTCGGCAGGACGTACTTCAACACCGTGAACGTACGTATCGTGGTGAAGACAGTTTCTACACACACTGCATAGTACGTCTTCTGGACAATAGACTAGACTTGACAATACGACTGACCTTTGGCGACTCCGCGCCTTTCCAAGGCAGGTAGTCCAGCGGCCCAAACTTCAAAAAAAAATTCCGTTTCAGTCTCAAGCAGACAACCTGGGTTCTTCACAACGGCCTAAAGTATGTATACCTGACCTGGATTCCGCTTGTTGTCATCTTCAGAGTTAGGGCAGAAGCTCAGGAGAAGCCAATTTCTCCGCTCTCGTCGGCGATACTGCGCACCATCTGGGGGTGCACAGTTCACGGAAAGGAGCGCCTTTTTCAAATTTTTGAAGATGACGACGACACCGACAGGATACTCTTTGAAATGTAGAATTGCATTTTCGTTTGGTAGTTGCATAGTAGTTGCGTTTCGCGCTGTTTGAATGCCTCCTGCCCACCGCTCACAGCATGGTAGACACCCTTTTGACATGATGGAGGAAGAGGCCGTGGAGCTTCTTACGCCTCGTCCTGGGAATGGCGTTGTATCGCGGGAATTTTGCTTGTGCCATTGCGTTCAATGCATCGCAGGAAAAGCAAACCCGATTTACTTTGCAGAGTTGGGAAACTTTGTTTGAAGCTGCTAAATGCAGGCAGGACGAGCTATACCTTCTTGTGCGAGAGCCACTGCACCGAGGAGAGCGTCCGCGGATGGTACCACCGCAAGTGCTACAGTACATACACTAACAAAACGTTGCTGGGTCGGCTGCCACTTGGACGTGGCCATGACTTTTCAAGCCATTCTGAATTGGAGGAGATACATGTATGTGATGATGGGACACCATGTACCAGCAAAGCGTAGAACAAGGAGAGATGTACAATGATTGAATCCACATCTGCAGACTTGTGCCTCATGACATGTGCATCTAGCAGAGTTGGAGAACAACGCAAGAATTTTGGCTTTCGCTCCAGAATGGCCCAGATTGCGTTGCAGCGGAAATCCACTATCAACGTCGGAGCATACTACAGTGCCTTCGCCCACCTGGCCACTATGCACCGGCAACGAAGTGGCAAAGGAGTGACCAGCCGTCGGCCTACAAAACATGTGACAGCCTGGTGCTGAATATACAGTCCGAGTTGAAGTCTGCAAGAGCCTTGCCCATGAAGCTTCTCACGGATAAGTACAATAACTGCAAACGGCACCAGCTTGGCCGACCATCACACTCCGCCTTAGTATCCAACTTTCATGCTGAAAAAGAAGATAATGAGCTACTTGGGGACCAGGTGAGTTCTTGGCATTGTTGAATGTGTAGAAATAATTTGATCATGTTTTATTGTTTGATCATGACCAAGGAAATCCAAATAACACATACGCTCAACTACAAGATCACATGATCGCATGTACACACCAGATCATGAGTCCAGGCTCAACTCATGCACAGCAACTAAAAGCCGCTAAGTTCATTTCACACGCGCGCTCGGGAAACGGCACATGCTGCATGCATAACCTAACACGATGTGCTACTATCATGAATGTCTGGGTAGCCAAGGAGTGCCACAATGTGTATGTAGACGTGAACACTACAGTGCCTGACATCTACAACCTAGGAATGTATTAAATGGAATGCAAGTGTTCATGCTCATGTAATGTGGTAGTCTTCTTTGGTTGAATTACGTTTGTGGCTGTTGCACGTATTATTACGACCAGCTTGGCTCTCGCGCTACTTCACATGGTACACATGTAGGGCTTGTGGTCCGAGTCAGAGTAATGTCCAAAGCTGACGTCAGTATTCTAGGCTGACTTTATGCAAGAAGAGACAGAATTATAAACTGGTTGTTTTCTAAACACAATTGTATAGCCCGTGATAACGCGGAAATGCGAACTTGACTTGTTTAAGGATCGAATTTCATTGGCGTGTTTCATTTACGTTTTGTGTTTGAACTGTGTGTTTCCTTCAGCAATTGACATGTATGGTAAGTGGCATGGGTATACAGGCGCACTCTTCACGGAGCAACCACTTGTCTGTGTCGTCTGCAAACGGTCCGATGGCCGGTAATACCCAGTCATTGCCGAACAGTCATACTAGTAACGCACCTGGCCCGACTCCAACCATCCCAGTCCAGCCGGTTGCCGCAGATTTCCTGCCCGCATCCACGTCCACTCCGCACCCCAGTGTCCGGCAAGAGAACGGGCCCAATGCCAGGAGTTACGACGGGCCCACTGCCAGGAATTACGATAGGCTCACTGCCAGGAGTTACGATAGGCCCGCTGCGATATCCGCTGGGCTTGTCCCCGCCAATGTCGTGTTGCCCACTGATTTTGGCTTCAAAGGATCCGCTACTCCGCCGCGTCAGGTGAACACCAGTGGATCAGTTTCATCTCTGGGTACTACATCAGCCTCCAGTACAGATGTGTCGGCTAGTACGGCTTTGACTACAAACTCGGGTGCGAGGCAACCAGTGGCGGCTGCGGTGTCTTCTACAGCGCCATCTCAACCACGGTCGCAGCAGGTTCTTGCTGATCTCTAGCGTGCTATGTGGTGTGTGAGTGCGTGCGCGCGCGCGCGGACGCGCACACACAATGCCATGTGTTGTGCGGTGTGTGCGTGCATGTGGGGTTTGTGTATGTGTGTGTGCGAGCGCGCGCGCACAATGCCATATGTTGTGCGGTGTGTGTACGTGTGTGTGTGTGCGCGCGCGCGCATGCACACAATGCCATGAGGGTGAAGGCAGTTTCGACAGTGGATTGGACTGTAAGTCCGACTGTGAATCGGACAGTGAGTTTGAAAGATAAGGCTGGTGGACCGCACTAGCGCTATTGAAGTTTTTGAATTGATTTGAATTTGAATTGTACTTTTCAACTCTGCAGCAAGTGACAAATACACTACTGCGCTATTATTTACAACATCTTCCATATCGCTCGTTTGCTAAGATCAGCTTATGATCGCTATCACTCTGCCGTTTTCCGGTGTCCTTTGCTTCGCTCGTGCTAGCTCTCTTCCGCTGGTGTTGTCGAGATAGTGTCCCAATAAATGAAATCCTCTCATACGAAAGATCCATGTTTGGGGGTGATTTTGGTCAAATTTTACAACAAATCAATCTGTGCCATCTCTAATCACCATCAATAGGAAATGAACGCTCGGCAAAGGGCAACCATGATCTACAAATCATCCAAACACAAGAACAAATTCACATCGACTGCACTAATTTTCAATAAAATATCGTATCACATGCTGCCAATTTCAATCAAGGAGTCGTAAAATAACGTAAAATAACGACTTCCGTAACGAAACCTAAAATTGGTTCTCCCCAGCTTATGCCCTAGTTCTGGACATGACAACAAGCCGTTTCGACATCCCTAGGACATGGTCTTTCCACCCATGCAAAGCTCAGGTTGTCTGCTTGAGACTGAAACGGGACTTGCAAAACAACGTCTTTTAGATTTGGGCCGCAGGACTAAGGCACTGGAAGACACGACAAGGAGGCGGGCCGATTGTCAGGCTGCGTTTTAGGCCTCGACCAAACATGCTTGCGCATATTTCCTCATATTTTGTGAGACAGTTCATATAATTATGGCATATTGAGCGAGAAAGGGAATATTGGAATTAAGCCAGCATATACAACCATTCTGAAGAAAATGAGGACAAAACATTCATGTAAGGGCGCGCTCACACTGCGACCATGAGCACGCGTCCATGCGTCAGAAAAACGCAGAAACGTGGGAGTCGTGCTCACACTAGGCCTCGTACACGCGTAGACGTGAAGTTGTCACACAAACTTTACGAATTGCAGTTCGTATCCAAAAGAGTTCGTGCGTTTCCTAATAAAGTTGTGGCCCGTTTTGGATGTAATTTTTCGCATGTTGCATGTTGGAGGAAGTGCCTCGTGGCTCCTGGCTCGTATTCTTGAGTCGGCGAAAATAATTCATACAATCAGGTAGGTTTGGACTCTTGAGGGACTGCCGCTGACATCCAAGCGCTTTCGCTTTCCTGACCTCGTGGTCAGAGCAAGTGCCAGTGCAGTGGAAATTCCGGTAGTGGTTTCTTTCGTCTGTTGCCGAGATGAGAACTGTATTTTCCGGTGATATGTAACTGAAATGTCTTGAGGTATGGCATTCCATCATCGCAGAAAATTAGAGAAAGATGATTTCCGAAACCGAAAAGCCAGACCAAGCTGCCATCGTATTGAACGAGTACACTGTAGAAATTGGTCACTGACCCGATCACAACGAAGCAACTACAAAAACAAAAACAAAATCGACATCGTCCAAAAAGGGCAAAGAATGCATATATGGCGGTGCGTGCGTGCAGGACCACAACTACAAAATTTAGAAAATGTGCAAATGTCGAGGTGACATCGACAACCGCCGATTTGGTAAAAAAAAAAAAAAAAAAATTCATGAATCAACAAACCGGAATTTGAGAAATTGAACATACTTTAGGCCAGGTTGTACACAAATACGCTTCACGTCTACGATCATGTTGCCGCCAAGTCGTGGCACCCCCCTCCGGAGGTCGCGGTCACGATTTGAAACGTGGCCGCGACGTTTTGGTCAAGTTCATGCCGTTGCCATGCAACTTGGCCGCATGGCCGCATGGACGCTGGTTTTGGTCGCAGTGTGAGCGTGCCCTAATGGACAAAATGCGTTCAGAAATGCCTTTTATGAATGAATTTGGAATGGTTGAGGCGTTTGCTACATTTCCCCAGGGATGAACACTATTGCTACGGTTGTTGGAGAGTGGGGACACACACCAGCCATACTATTCTGCATGTGTTTTGATTTGCACCAGATGTTCGCCGAGTTAGCGGAACAACGTATTTGCAATTGTCATTGCCACGGGTGTTACTGGGAGGTTGGAGGGCTACTTTGGGCTGATGCTGCTGGTGTGGACACGGTGCATAAGGAAACGGAGTCTGCATTTGGCACGTTCAATTACAGGGGTCAGGGAAAGGCGAGTGTATATAGGAGTGGTATGGGACGGGATGGGCAGATTGGCTACGCAGCGAACACATCGCTTGTCGAGGACAGTGAGCAGGAAGTATAAGGGCAGAATAGAAGAGGAGCGACTGGCGTTCAGATAGCGACGGGCGGATGGTTCTCAGGGTGGTTAGCTTCTGGGAAGTTTTACGTACTATGCGTGTGTAAACGGTTTGAAAACGATTCGAGGCCAGCCCGTTTTCATTCCGTTTCGTTTCGTTTCGTTTCATTTCGTCTCCGTGTTAACGCAGCCTCAGTTCCTTACGGGGCGCATTGTTCATGAGTAGTTTCGCTAACAGTGATGATGGATATCCGTTTCAAGTAAAAAAAAAAGACACAGCCAAGGAAATCAAGTTCCGCTTGCAATTTACTCTCGGAGCAAATGCGTCTCGCCCTGTCAGCTAAGTTTCGGATTAGATTGGTCTTGTATTGCGAATAGCAATATGAATTGTGCATAATAATTATACTGACCAGTGAATGTAGGCTTACGATACACCCTCACATGTCTTTTCCACCAGTACATCTAAAAACGACAATTTGTTGCAATCCTCGTGTTCGCATGTGAAGCGTAGTGCAGGGTGGACATCATTCAACTCATTTAGAAAGGCTTCACTCGCACGTCTTGATTCGAAATAGGTAAATGAGTCGTCCACAAATCGAACGTACAACTGAGGCCACTTTATTTTATCCATTCTCGATTCGCAATACTCAACGAAGACATTTGCCAGTACCGGGTCCAACGGAGACCCCAGCGCCACACCGTCCATCTGCTTATAACATAACATAACCAAACGAGAACTCTACGCCACTTGTCACCGTCAACATCAAACGTCGATATGCTGTCTCCGGTAACCATGGAAGATCAATGTCATCATCATTGTGGTATAGTCTTCGCCGCAGATATCTATTGTCTCGTCTAGTGGTATGTTTGTAAATAAGCTTACAACATCGAAAGAGCACGTAATTATGGGCTGTAGGTGGGATAGAGTTGTGTCGAAGGATTTCAACGAATTCAAACGTGTCCTTAACGTTGTGTTTACAATAATACTCTAATACCGGTTGCATCATGCCGCAGAGCCACTTGGATATGGCGTATTGGGGCGATCCTACCATGGAGAGTATGGGTCTAAGCGGGCAGGATGGTTTATGTATCTTTGGGAGGCCGTACGTGCCCGGACGTACCGAACCGATAGGCTTGATTCGGAAAAACTCGGATTCTGTTATGTCTTTTTCTGCTCGGAGTCTCTTCAGACAGGTTACTAGTTCCTTCTCCCGAGCCAATGTTCTATCATGTGTTGAAACCGGACCCGAGTTCCACAAATTTAGACCCGTCGTCCAGTATGGTAGCCATTTTTGTATTTTACTCTTTTTGCGTTAAGATAACTGTTGCCCGACCTTTATCTGGCCGAGTGACGATGATATCATTGTTCTTTTTCAGCTCTGAACTAGCTTTCATTTGTTCGCGGGATAGTGGAAATGTTCTCCGTTCAGCGGGTTTGTCAGCATGTTCCTCGGCTGCAGCACGCAATGTAGCCGTACACACCATTTTCTTTGATTCCGATACAGGTGCAAAACCACCCAATTTCCGATAGAATAATTCAAAATCACATAGTACTCGCTCTCTCATGTTTGATGTTGGTGGTATGCCGAAATCTACGCCTGTAGATGATAGTAGCTCCTTTTGAACAGTCGTAAGTGGATGTGTGTTCGCCATGTTAATTATTGTGCTGGTATCAATTGTGATGGAGCCAAAGCGCTTCTTTCGAAGTCACTTGATGTTCTGATCTTATTTGGTGACTAATCGAGTATGTAGCCTATCGTCATTCTCCGAGATAAGCATGGAAAAACGAAGAAAGTCATGTTGTGACAGGAAGTCCCCCTCCTGGCGGTAGAGGTGTTTAAACGCAGTTCGTGTTTTGTCAATTGTATCCATGGATCTCGCAATGTCATCCTTAATGAAAGTCCAATGAAAGTGTGCTATGCAAGCAAAAAGAAAATGTTGTAGTACTCACACTTTTTAAATAATACGCACTCACCAGTTTTGTCCACACGCACTCACAGCTGCAACGTTCATCTACTGCTACCATTCTCAGATCCACTGCATAAGTTCACACTACACGCGTTATGCATATGAGCGAGCTGCTGCATTCTCACGCTTCTCATGCTTCTTTTCACATTATTCTAGCTATAAAACTGGTTGTTTTAGTGATTCTTACTATGTGACGATGTTCCACTGATGATAGTCGCGAGAAAACGTTCTGGAATTGTTTCATTTTGATTGTTTTATACATGGTTATGACAATTGATATTTTTCATTGCCATTTTACGACTTTTGTTTCCTCGTCGGTTATTTAGATGAATAATAAGGTTGGAATTTATGGCAGATAATAAGTTTTGGCAGTTGTTAATTCAGTTCTCAGCTGTGCAATGGTGTTAGCATTCCCCTTCTTCTGCTTCTCGAGCCGATCAATGGTTTGTCTTCGCTCACCAAACTGCTTGTTCATCCTTGTGAGATGTCTGGATATCTTTTTCTTTTTTTCTTTGGGATCTGTCTAGCGCAACTTGTTGCTTTTGCACTTCTTTACTTTTCTCTGTGACTGACGTTTTCAGGACATCGAGTTCTTTCATGGCAATGCCTATCTCATCCTTGTCAATGACTGCGTTCACATCATTACATTTGTACCACACCTGCAACAACTGCATGTACACGAATCACCCTGCCCTTGTTTCGAAGCACAGCTTTTCTCATATCCGGCTAATGTGCAGCAACAAGATGGATAATTTCAACTCCAATACGCGACCGGCTTCTATTCGATACAAGCTTAAAAATATGCTACATTACGGGATACAATGTCATGTTTAATTATGTACTACACTACAGCGCTGAAATCCGACCCCTGAGCGGTGCGATCACATCGCAAAGACCCAACCCGGGATGGCAAAACTACGAAACAGAGACCGCTAGAATGTGGACGCACCGCTAAGGGGTCGGATTTCAATTGCCTGTACTGTAGTACCGTGAAACTATAATAAGATGTGCCCCAAATGACGGCAGGAAAGTGTAGATCTACAGTGCAGGCAAATGAAATCCGCCCAGGGGGTCGGATTTCAGTTGCCAGCACTGTACTTCGGATGCGGTGCACTTATCCGAACACACTTCCTAACGGATCACTACAACCGTGAGCCGGACAACGCACACGTATTCAGTAGGTCTGATCAGAGTAAGTACCGCCGGTGCTACCTGATTTCCACTGCAACCAGTTCGGCACAGTTAGTCTAGCCAAAAGTGACACTCGAATTGAATAGAGAAAATCCTAAGGATGAGAACAACAACTGCAAACTAGCACAGCAGTAGGAATTTCTAAAGCTACCCAATAAGGAAAAGCACACCACGACTTGAATTGAGGCATACCAAGATGGCGATCATGTCGACAAGCACACACAAGTAGTATGCAGCAGAAACA